TTTAAAGAAGGCTGTTTCTACAAAAGTTATGAATAGTGGTGTGGTAAAGAAAACTGTCAGCTCTTGCCCAGCCAGCCTGACCTGTAACTGCTATGCAACAAAAAAGTTCGCAGTATTTGCCTTTCAAGGCGTCAGCAAGTTGCCCCTAGGGCAGGTACACCAGGATTCAGGACACCAGAGGTCTTGACAAAATGCCCGAATCAGACTACAGCAATTGACATGTGGTCTGAAGGCATCATTTTCCTTTCTCTGCTAAGTGGGTGATATCCATTTTATAAAGCAAGCGATGATTTAACTGCTTTGGCTCAAATTATGACAATTTGAGGATCCAGGGAAACTATACAGCCTGCTAAAACTTTTGGTAAATCAGTACTATGTAGCAAAGAAGTCCTAGCTCAAGACTTGAGGAAACTCTGTGAGAGACTCAGGAGTCCAGGGTCTAACACTCCCAAGTTAGCAAGATACCCAAAGATGTCCTTCTCAGGATTCAACGTTTTTCAGAGAAGACTGACCATAAAGTTTCTTATGTCATACAAAGATCTCAAGTACAACCATCAAGAGATTCATTCTATAAAGGAGATAATAATGGGTGTGAGAAACATTTTAATGAAAATAAGACCATTTTAGAAGACTGGGATGAGGTACCTGAGGACACTTATGATCTTCTGGATAAACTTCTAGATGTAAATCCAGCTTCAGGAATAATAGCAGAAGAAGCCTTGTTACATCCATATTATAAAGATATGAGCTTATGATGATGGTTCTTCATTTAATGTTTTATTTGTTTGATGTATAAACAATAGAAGTTTACTTGGCATATACTAGTTCTGGAGGTTGGGAAGTCCAAGTGTGTGGTGCTCATCACACCTGGCAAGGCTCATCCATAGAAGGACAGGGTAGCACATGAGACAGAGATTCATTTAAGGATATTGTATATTGGAAGGCAGAGCTCAAGAGTCCTTTGTAATAGCCATAAATTCTTATTTAAAGAATAAGAAAGGGTGAATATACACAACTGTTTGCAGTCTCACTGTTTGAATGTCCACTTTGTATGCTTTAATCCTGTAACTTGAATAACTATTTCTAAGATGATAATATGTAATCTATTAACTAGTGATTTCTTACTGTTTTTTTTTTTGTAATTCTGTATTACTTGTACCCTTACACTGTTTTGTTTTGTTTTGTTTTTCTTTTTTTTTCCTTTTAAATAAAAAAAAATCTTAGTATTTGTCCTGGTGGCAGACTGTAAAATATAAAGTTACTTGAAATGCCTCAAAGAGTTCTTTCAGCTAACTACATGACATGGAACTGAAGTCAACCAAGTAGAATCAGATCTTTAGCCACAGGCAAAAGAGGGAACAATTTTACTCTGGGCCATGGATTCAAGTTATGAGGTTGATGGATGTGATAGGGGTTAAATGAGTCAGAAAACTTGGTTTCCTGCTGCCTTAAGAGTATGAGCCATGCATCCTTTGAAAAATTCGTACTGGTGCTAGTACTCTCAAAATTCTTTTAAAGTTAAATAATAACGTTTTTTGGAGAAACACATGCCTTTTATAAACAGGAAATGTTTGTGGGGCAAAATATCACTTAAAATTGTATTTAATCTATTCATTTAAAAAATTCTTTGTGAAACACTTTTTTCATTAATTGTATGTTTTCTTTCTTTTTTTTTTTTTCCTTCTCTGCCCCTACCTAATATTCTCCTTGGAATTGATACGGTACCATAAAATTTCTGGGTGCTTTACTAAGTGTATGTGTTAGATGCACACTAGTTGACAAGGAGAAGCATTCAAGAGCAAGGTGAATATTATTTATGCTTCCCCACAATATCTTAGCTATAATTAGGTAACTGCTAAAGGGAAAAGTGAACACAGGGTTAAGAATTTTACTGGTGATACTTTACCTAGAGCCATGCAGATTTCTACAGCTGTTTTAACTTAAATGGATTGGGAAGACATAAATGAAGAACACAAGGCAGAAAAGGACCTAGTGTAGAGGCTGATGTTACTTACATTCCAAAATGGTCCATGACAGTGTATCACACTTCCTATGCAAAGTAAGTCTGAGAGAAGTTTCTCACTTAGCAGTTAAAGACTATAAACATTGACTTTGTTATTTTGAGCCTTGATTTGTCAGTATGCCTACCTAATGTTTGGTAAATGTAATTTAATATTTGTGTGTGCATGTGCACAATTGCCATTGATTTGATGTCTTATGCTGTGATTATTTTTAAAAAATTGAATGTTCTCTAATTTGTATGTTTAATAAAATTATATGTCAGACTATAAAAAAAAAAGAAATGGACTAAATGTATTTTACACAGGCAACATAAACATGAGCCTCTTGAATGTTATGTTTAAATCTAAAATGGTAACACGTGTTTGGAAGGTGACTGAATCATGGAGGTGCCCAGAGATTAGTTCAAAGCTGACTGGCTATTACAGTGGGGCCTGGTTAGAGTCTGGTCACTGGAGGATGACCAGAAGGGTATGTTAGCACCAGTCCTCCCCTCTCTGTCTCTGCTTGTTTGCTGCTATTATTTTAGAAACTTTCCTCTAACATGTTTTCTATCATGGAGTCAGCCAACCATGTACTAAACCCACTGGCTCCGTGACCCATATAAGTCTGTCTTCCTGAATGTTGAGTATTTTGTGACTCATATACTAGTGTAAGTTTTAACACCTGGTTTAAAGCTGTACCTGTTAGGAAAAGCCATGCTTTTATACAGGTAAAGGTCCAAAATAATTATGAATTTAGTAAAAGAGTTTCTTTTTTCTGTTGTTATTTCTCGTATCCTAGACACTCGTGGGTGGTCAGTTGATAGCTAACAGTGTCCTCTGGGACTCACGTGCCTGCCCTCTATGCTTTGAGCACCTGCTTCAACAAGTTATGTCATGAATATCAGGATGGAGAAGGATTAGAAAAAGGCTTCCCCCACTGCTCAGTTACAAGGGAGGCTTCCAAAAAAGTCAGTTCAGCAAGTTACATTCACGTTTTCTTGGACAGAACATAGCACATGGTCACTCGCCTCTGCAAGGGAGGGCAGGTGCTGTAGCCCTCACCTGGGCACACTGCCACATCCAATATCACAGGCTCCGCAGCAGGGAAAGGGACGCAGTGTTTGGTTCGAAAATCGCCCGATGCCACATGGGTCAATGTTCCATTTTGATTTAAAACTGGTATTATTGGGGATAAAAATATTTTCCTTTCAAATAAATATAAGAAAGATTAGTGCTTATTGCATTTCTCCAATTGGCATTTCCATTGTGCTTAGTTCTAGTTGTACCTAGAGAATGAAGGACGACTCCTCAGTGTGAAGATCACTTTTCTCCAGTACCTGTGTGAAGTTTGTCCCCATGAAATCAGCAGTGCTGTCAGCAGTGTGGCTGACCTTGAAGGAATTAGACTACGAAGACAGCGGAGTGCGCATGCTCGAGTGTGCCCACAGACGGTAACTTAACATTTCTTGATTTATTGAAAAAACTTGTTAAAAAAATTTAAAACTCATATTTGCTGTTTTGTTTCAAATTTGTAAATTTGTGTTCATATTCCTTTTGATTAAAGGCTGAGGGCTGTTTGAATGTAACTTATTTATTGGTGTTAATTATTTTTTCTGGCCACAAATCACACGTCATTAATGCATTTAGATAATTTCCAGTTTCAGTTTTTGGAAGTGGAGTGAAAACTAATGCATTTATTAAACAATCCAAAGTAACTTCTTTCAGATTTTTCTTTGTAGTATTTTCTATAAGAATTTTCCAGGTCTGTATAAATTTTCCAGGTAGTTAATTCTGCACAGAAGATGCAACAGTGATTTGTAAATAACTCTTTGTTACAATTCTTTATGAAGCATTCAGCTTTGTTCTTTTTTTATTTAAAAAATAAAAAGGGTAGAAATAATATATGGTTTCAAGAAAAAAAAAACAGTAAGAAATGACTAGTTGCTAATTACATATTGTCCTCTGAAACAGTTTTCAACTTTGTTCTTAAACAACTTTTTTCTGACATCTGTCAGTATTACTTTACCAGTTTCTAGAGGTACAGGACTGAGCTGAAGCAATATAAATGATTTAGGAAGACGTGCAGCCAAAGCTTAGGAAGCACGAAGCTCATGGAGCCAGGGAAGGCCTAGGAGCAGTCCGTCCCACGACCAGCACCTCCACACACACAGTGCTCACATGCTTTGGGTTTGGACAGCAGTTTTCCTGGACGGTGTGTTTCACTGCAATGCAGACAATTACGCAATCAAGCAGATCTGTTAGATGGGGACTCAGTTCTTCTGTGAGCTTTTGAGACTTCTCCAAACTTTGCACTTCTGTTTAACACAAAGGATGTCTGAGAATGTGTACTTAGAAGTGAGTCTCACTTCCCTTTCGCCCCGACGGGTCCCCTCTTCAGATGCTCGGACCTGCTTACTCAGGCCTTTTCTTCGACCTCTCAGATTTAATTCTGCTTCCTGTCCCCAGTGTCCCACCCACCTCACATTTCCATTCCCGCCTACTGCAGAAGGCCAAGAGGAAATACCACCTTTCCCTGAAGCTCTGTCGGATTCCCCAATGAGAGGAAATTCTGTATTGTCTGAGTTTCTGCAAATGTTTCAGTTATTTTTAAAACACTTTATACACTGAGTCCTTTTGCACTCGCCTTACGGTGCAAACAGTCATTTTTCCACCACCTCCAAACAGACTTAACCTCTGAGTTGAGAACTTCCTGGTTCTCAAAAAGGCCTGAATAAAGAAGATACATAATTTTTATTTATTTGAATGAATATTAAAATGCCTTATTTTTAAAAGCTATAGACTTCATTATAAGTTAAGCTCAAATGTTAGACTGAATTCATCAAAACATGAAGAACCATAAATGTTTCTTTTATAGACTTAGAATAATTTTTCTATCATGACTTAAAGAAAAGGAAAGCAAAAAGTTCTGGTTAAAAACACTGTATTTTTAGGATTTTTTTTTAATTCTGTAGAAAGAGAAAGAAAATAATGTTTTACCTGTGATTTGAAAATGCAACCAGAGTTACCAAGAAGCAAAGATGTCAGTCTAAGTTTCAGGATCCACTGCATTCCGGGACTCATCATTGGAACACTCTTTTTGGAGGTAAGAATATGGAATCTACTTTTTGGAAATTAATCGATGAATTCTGAAAATTGTATAAATAATCATTTCAGCAGGGTAAAATAAGGAAGCCAGTTTGCCTCACCCAAGATGTGTAAGCCACAGATAATCTGTCAGGTTGCTTCTAGCTACCACTTGTTAGTTCATACTTCACAGCAAAACTTCCAGAGAAGCTGAATTTGAATAAATTAAATAGAACTCTGGGTTTTTTGCACAGAAAGACAGAGGACAGTGCCAATGCCAAAAGGAAACTCCTTTACATTATCTCCTTACACTCAACAATAAAAGCGGGTGGTAAATCTTGTTCTCTTGGTGCCTCTGCATGAGAGAGTGATGTCTGTTTTATATCACATTAAATATTTCATGCTTATTTCTTAACAATAGCTGAAAACACAGCTGCATGGGAAGAAGGACAATAGCACATCTCCTACGTGGTCAGTTTGAGTTTAGACAGCAATGGCGAAACCCTAAATGTAGTCTAATTCACAACTGGTATATTCAACAAGCACGGCATCAGTTGTGTATGATTTAAAGCTTTGAAATGGCCCAGGGTCTGGAGCTGGTATCAACCAGGATGTTGCACTACTAGGACTTCTGATCTGTCTTTTAAAATTCACTTCTAGGATGTGCTGACCCTTAAAAGAAACTGATGCACAAATTGATTAAGAAATGAAGAGTTTATTTGATTTGATCTGATCAGAGTTATGGCTGGGAAACACAAATTTCAGGCAGACTAAACACGTCCTCCAGGGTCCTACAAGTTTACAAGCCATAAAGCTACAAGTGTGTGTGGACATCATTATATTAAGTGTATGTCAAGGATTTAGATAGATTTAGGCAAGATATCAAAGTGTCTTTTTAGAAAGGAATTCAGGGAATGGAAGAGCATAAAGCAGTTTTTAGAAAGGGAGGGAGAAAAAAAGATAAAAACAAAGAAATTCTTGAGAAAGAAAGGGTTAAGGGGCAAAAACCACTCTGGTGGTTATGCATAGGATTAGAATGCTCCATGTAATGAAAACTATACCTCTTAGCTTGTAAAGTATAGGATACAGAAAATTTTTGGCCTGGTTTGGAGCAGGTTTCAGTATGTTATAAAAATGACCTGCATCTTTCACGGGTCAAAATCTTATCTGGAGATAGATGCAACTAAAGATTTCCATTGTGTCCACTCAGCCTGCTATTTTGGAGCACCTCAATCTGCTTCTGTCTGTCTGACTTTAATTTTCCACAGCTGGGAAGAGAATGGTGAGACCCCAACTGGTCACAGGGAGCTGTGGGGAGCACTGTGTATTTTGGGTGTTGCTCTATCTTTGTTTTGGACCAGGAGACAACCCAGCAAGGGCATCTGAAAGAAGACAGAAGATCTTAGGGATCTCTTCTCTCAGCCATTGCCTCTGAACATTTTGGCCTGGTCTAGCTATGCTCACGAGCCAACTCTAGGCAGCCAACAGAATCTTGTGCTTGGGAGGAGCTGACAGGAGATAGTCTCACTGGTCTCTGTTAGGTGCTTCTGTGCCTTGCCATCCCAGGTCTAGGCTCTGCAGCCTCCAAGTGTCTCTTGCTAATAATGCTTCTCACTGAGGGACTAAGGGGAAGGATCTGACAGCACAGACAGTGGCAGTGTTTTCGCACTAAGTAAGGAGTGACTGGTGTGTAGGATGCTCTACTGTGGGCTGATTCACCAACACTTCCTACTACTTGGTCTGTCTGGGGCATCTACGAATATGCCAAGAGTATTTTCCTGAGGCTCACAGAAGACACAGACCTCACAAGATGTTTGAGAAATGCATCCATTTCAAAAAGAAAGTAACACACAAAAACCATGTTTTCAAAAAATACTGAAATAGATAAATCTGGAACTCAAAAATTAGTCAAAGTCGTGAAAAGAAACAAGGGAAGAAATTAAAAAAAAAAAATGGCTGGGAGTGGTGGCATACTCCTGTAATCCCAGCACCACCGAGGAGACTAAAGCAGGATTGTTGCAAGTTCAAGACCAGCCTGGGCTACAAAGTGAGCCCAAGATCAGCCTGAACCATGTAGCAAGACCCTGTCTCAAACACACACACACACACACACACACACACACACACACACACAAATGTAAAATAATGAACTCTAAACAAGAAAACATAAGAAGACAGGAGAAAATATTATGTGCAACAGATATTAAAGTTGAAAGAAAAAATACAATAGATAAAACAAATAACAGCAAATGCATTCTGATAATGAACACGATTCAGTCATTCGCTAAGAAGTAGGTATACACTAAATAGAATAATAGCATAACACTAAACTGGAACCAATCCAAATGCCCATCATTAGAAGAATGGAAACAATGGAGTATATTTAAGCAATGAAATGTTGTATTGCTTAATAGTAAACTCCAGTTATTGGTAAGTAAAACATTGTAGACAAGTAGCACAAACATTAAATTCAAAACATGATTATGCACAAAAAATGGTGATTCTGTCACAGAGGAAATTAAAGAAGAAATCAAACAATAGCTACATGCAAACTAAAATGCAAATACAACTTACCAGAACATAAGGCACACAATGAAAGCAGTCCTCAGAGGGAAATTGCATTGAATTCTCACTCAGGAAAATATAACACAAATAAACAACCCGATGTCACATCTCAAAAATCTAGAACAAGGGGAGCAAGTGAAGCCCAAAGCCCAAAGAAGGAGGAAATTACAAAGACCAGAGGAGACATTAACACAATTGAGAGTAAGAAAGCAGTAGAAAGAATTAACAAATTGAAGAGTTGGTTTTTTGAAAAAAATAAATAAAATTGATAAGCTCCTAGCCAACCTTATTAAAAAAAAGAGGGGAAGAAAAAAACTCAAATTTGTACAGCAAAGAATGAAAATGGTGAAATCACTACAGATTCTGGGGAAATACAGATCATCAGTACTTACTTTGAAAACCTTTATAGGTTCAATAACACGAGATTCCTAGAAACATATGAATTATCAAAGCTGGGTCAAGAAGATATAAAACTGCTGAATAACCCAATTTCAGTTAATAAAATTGAAAATGTAATTTAAAACTTACCAACAATGAAAAGCCCAGGTCCTGATGGATTTATAGCTGAATTCCTCAAGAAATTTAGGGAAGACTTAATTAATGCCAACACTCCTCAAACTTTTCAAAGAAATTGAAAGGGAAGCAAGTCTCTCTAACTCATTCCTGGAAACAAGTATTACCCTTGTATCATAAAGAAGGATAAACTTGAGGTTTTTATAGGTAAATGAACGCAACTAGGGACCACACTTATAAATGAAATAAATCAGACTCACGTGTGAACATAGTATTGTCTCTCATGTAAGGAATTTAAAGATTAAATAAGATCCAAAGAGGTAGCATAGACATTGTGAAAGGGAATGAAACTGCTCAAAAGGAAAGAACAATTGGGATGGGGTAAAAGAGGGGAAAAATATATATATATGTACACATACACATAAGATAGTTAAGATAAGTGTATTATTGATCCTGTTAGTTCAGGGAAAGAAATTGTGATTGCTTGTATTGCTTGATCTATTTTGCATACCTATATCTTGCAATCTGAGCAACCATTTTTAAGATAACAATGTACAATATGATAAGTATTGTTAATTTCCTATCAGCTTGTTTAGAAATTCTATATGGGTTCTACTGTTTTGTTTTATTTTTTATTGTTTTGATTTATTGTAATCTCTTGGGGAAAAAATGGTGATTCCACTTCTGTAAGTTCAATAGTAGTCCAAAGTAAACAGTGGTGCTAGAAGTCATAATAATGTTGCTAGGACAAATTGCCTGACACCCACAATTTGAAGAAATATAGTTTGGCTCATGCTTGTAAAGATTTGAGTCCACAGTCGCCAGCCACAAAGGCAGACACATCACAGCAGGAGGCTGTGGAGGGTACAGCTCCCTGCTCGCCTTGTGACACCTGGAAAGCAATGCACGGGGCGAGATGCACTATTTCCAGGGTGTCTCACTGTCTCCTCCAGCTTGCTCTTCCTCCCAGCAACACACTCAGCTTTGCAGGTAAGTGAATAGGGTATTGCACAGCCCCCCATGATCCCTTCACCTCTCTGTAAGCATCTTAATCCAGTCAAGTTGACAATTAAGCTTAACTCACAAATGACAACTCATCGATGGAGTAATTTCTGTCACAAATGCAAAGCAACCACAGTCCTCACGGCTGATCAGTAATACCCTGTATTTTGATCTCAGTTATGGGAACAGGTTTATGTTTATGTGAAAAGACTCATTTGTGCATGTCATTGTGTGTATATTCTAATTCAATGAAACACTGGATGAAAATTAACTGTACATATTATATCAACACGATGAGCTTTATCTAGGAGGGAACAAAGGATGTAAAACAATGCTGTATTGCTATTAGTTAGGGAAGGCAGGGACCACTTATTTTTTAGTGTAAAAGGCAGAAAAGAAAACAAAACATGGGACAAGTTAAAATAAAGTTGAAAACTATCAAAATATTATTATAAGGAGATGTAAATGGTGAGCCAGGCTGTGAGTTTGAATTCATAGTGATCTTCCTGCCTCAGCCTCCTGCGTGTTGGGACTATAGGCATGCACCACCAGGCCTGGCTAAATATATGTTGTTGAGAAGGTTGAAATACAGAGATGCAAAAGCAAATGTAATCAAGATAAATTGATGTTATTTTCAACTGATATTAACATAGAATAAAACTGTAGAGATAAAAACATATGAAAAAGGCCACAGTAATGAGAAAAGATCCAACTTGTCAAGACATGGCAATCTAAAACATGCGTACATCTAATAAAATACCTTCAAAATGGATGAAGCTGCAGATGAACTACCAGAAATAATTGACAAATCTGCCATCACAGGAGCAGGCTGTAAAGCACGCCCTTAATAAGTGCTAGGTCAAACAGAGAAAAACTCAAAAAGAATATGGAAAACTTGAGCAACACAACTGATAACCTTGATCGAATGGAGCACTGCAGAGCTTTATTACTAAAACTTAGAAATATGCTTTTCCTCAGCTCA